TACTTCTTCTCTACTATCTTTTTACTCTACTTATTAAGTAGCTTATTAGCTATATCTTAAATAGAAGTAAGCTAGAGAGTAAATTCTTATATATCTAGGTTAAGTATATACTTAACTATTACCTACTCTTTATTCTTTATAAGCTTTATTAAATTAGATATCTATTTATATTATAGAGTAACTTTATTATATTAATAGTAAACTTTCTTCTACTCTACGTTATAGAGAGCTATAGTACGCTATAAGCTTAGCTCTAGATTTTATTAAATAGTCTAAAGCGTAAGCTATATCTAGAATTTATCTAAAGTTAATTAGATATTTATAGAGAGCTTTATAATAGAGATAGTAGTATTTAGTAAAAGCTTAGTATTTTTAGAGTATTTATTTATCTAGAGTATTTATTTATTAAGTACGTTAAAGAAAATAAAAATAATAAGTAATATAAAGATATAAAGAATAAAGTATAGCTCTTTTCTAATAAAAGCTATTTATATAAATACTATTTCTAATAGCTAGAAATATTTAATAAATAAGAGTATATAAAAAAGAACTATAAGAATAGTAGTACTTACTAGCTTAATTATATAGAAGATTAGTAGAATTAGTAAGTTACTTATCTTCTTATACTACTTTATAACTTATACTAGTAAATATATAACTAATATAGTATAGATACTAGATATATTTTAGAAAAGACTATTTCTATAACTATATAAGCGTAAATATTAGTACTCTATATATCTTTCTTAACTAGCTACTTAATTAGTACTAAGAGAAGAGAGAAAGAAGATACTAGAGAACTAAGTATACTAGCTCTCTAGAGATTTACTTAGAATACTTTACTCTTATATAGTACTATAGTAGTTATTTTTATAATAGTTATAAAGAACTAGTTAAGCTAGATAAAGCTAGTAATCTTATAAACTTTCTAGTTTCTATTCTATATAAATATAAGATCTTTAGAAAAACTAAAAAGTAGTACTAATATATTAGGTTTTCTACTCTTTCTACTCTTTCTTTCTATACTTCTAGCTAAAGCTTCTAGTATATATAATAATAGTAGAGTTAGCTATAAGTAATAGTATAGTAAATTTTTTTTATATAGATATAGTACTAGATTTCTATAGTTTTACTTATTTAAAATAGAGACTAGGCTACTATAATAATATATAAATTAGTACTTCTATTATCTATTACTATTAGCTTAATTATTTCTAGATTTATTTATTTTAATTACTTTATAACTATTAAGTATTAGAAGCTACTACTCTAAACTAGAGCTTTAAATACTTTATTCTAGTTCTAATTATTACTAATATAATTATAGCTATAACTACTCTTATTACTAGAAGAGTACTTACTTAGGCTAATAATTACCTTTACCTAGAAGCTTTTTTAGTAAAAAAGACGTTCTATTTAAGTCTAATATCTAATAAGTTATAGGTCTATATTAGCACTAAGATATTATATATAACTTACTTTCTTCTTTCTATAACTAAGTACTAGGTTAATTATTTAGCTTTAAGAAGTAATACGTCTATAGAATTAGAGAAACTAAGACTAGCGTAGATAGCATGCATCTTTAATAGTTAGAGAGAGGCTGCAGGAATTTAGCCATATTCTTATATTTATTCTTACTATTGTATACACGGTCTATTATATCCTACGAACTGCGCCGAGAGGAGAGAGGGGGAGGGGGGAAGGGAAGGGGGCGAGATTACCCTGGATCGTTTTGTCGCCTCGATACGTCTAGACCATTCTCACGACCTGCACCAAACAGTTCTAGACTGGGCGTCACAACGGTTTGCGCATTCAACTAGGCTGAGAGTGGCGCCAGTCAGGCCAGACGATCAGAATTAACCGGAAGCGGATACGGAGATCTCAAACAAACTCTTCTATGCAGGAAAGCGAGGTTTAATGGCAGTCGACGAAAGCACTCTTAGCGCTGTAGGGTGTAAACTGGATCGTGGTGTTGACGGAGGTGCGTGTGGCGCTCGTTTTCGAGATCTCTAAGAGCGCAGCGCTCCCCTTCGTTTGGGTCTCGAGAAGGATGTGGCGGGAGAAGGGACAGGGTCGAGGTTGGGTCTGCTCAGATGAGGGCCGCTGCAGGTAGTCTGGAGGGATTCGCCAACAGTCCTCCCAAACCCATAAGAATCTCCAATGGTGACGGAATTGGCAGAACACCGGTTGTCCTCCGTAGGGGGTTGCCAGGAAGGCTTTCTTCAGACCCCCTAGTAGCCAACTTGACAGATCCGCCGAACAGCAGCCTTAACGGCGGGGCGAGGCAGGGCCTTGGTGCATATATCGGCGAGGATGTCTGCTAAGGGGATATGCTAAACGGCGTATTGCCCGTCCAAATACTTTTCCCTCACGAAGTGATAGTGGACACCGATATGCTTGGACCGATGATTGATTTTGTGATCCTAGATAAGTGACAAGGCGGGTTCGTTATCGACTATCAGCCGGCACGGAGGTGGTTTGGCGGAAAGGAGCTCTGCCATGGCTCGCCGTGTCCACGTCAAATGACTGGCGGCATCTCATGCCGCCATATACTTAGCTTCGCAAGGCGACACAAGCTTGCCGTTTAGACGACTAAGCAACGGTGGAACCGTTGATCTTGAGTAGGTATCTGGAAAACGACTTCGCATTGTCGGGATCGGAGGCAAATGACGCGTCAGCGTACATGACGATTTCCGCCATATTCGCCAGTGGTGGCGGAGTGGATCCGATGACAATAGCTTGATCATGTCTGTCGGATGTATCGCAGCACTTGATATGCCAGGCGTAGATGTAGCTCTGACGGGTTGGAGTTGTACGTGCCAAGCATGCTGACCGTGTACGCCAAGTCAGGGCGACTGATGATAGCAATGGAGCCGATGATGGACTGGCACAGGTGTTGACGATCAACGCAAACAGCCACTTCGGACCGCGATGAGAAAGAATTCGCGTCCAACGGGGTCCGTCGACCATTATACTGATCCATGCCATAGCGACGCAGCACCGCCATGGTGTACGTGCGTTGGTGGAGGCGGAGAGAATCGCCATAGTCGATTTCCAAGCCAAGCAGCATTTTGGGACGGCCCAAGTCCTTAAACTTAAACTTTCCGCCGGCAGCTTTCATGAAGGCGGAGGTGGCAGGGTTAGTACCGGCCATCAGGACGTCGTCGACGTAGATGCCCAGGATGAGTTCGATGCCAAGAAACACGCATGGATCGAACGTGGATAAGTAGAAACCCATCTGCTTCAGCCACTGGGACAAGACTTCATACCACTCGCGTCCTGATTGCTTGAGGCCGTAGAGGGTTTTTAAAAGCCTCAGGATCTTGTTTCCGCCGTAGCGGTTAACTCCTGGCGGGCAGCGTGCGTATATAATGTGACTGAGCTTGTCATTAAGATAGGCAGCGTCGAAGTCCATCTGCCAGAGTTGCCAGCCAAGGATAACTGCGATAATGAGGATGAGTCTCAGCCTGTCATAGCGGACGATGTCGAAGACCCAGCGGGTGTCGACTAGTTTGGCATGTGGCGGCTTTTCCGACTCATCGACTATTTCCCATATACCGTTATCATCGTGAGCTTTGATTTCACGATCGATGGGAGGCTGCCAAAGGGGAGCAAAGTTGTTGTGCCACATTTTGTGTCGGGAGAATCGCTAACCGCAAGACGGTTCCTTGCAAAGCTAGAAGAATGGTTAGCAAGGTTCAACGGTCGTGAGAAGCGCGCTTACAAAAGGCTTAACACCAGTGTGTGCTCGGGTGTGGATCTCTAGATAAGTCTTCTAATAGAAGCTCTTGTTACAATTAAGCACGCTGCACTAATATCGCTTCTTCGGCTTCTAAGCAAGCTTCGGTTCTTCTTCCTAGGTGCACTGTAAGCATGCATCAAACAAGCCATATTGTCTCTAGTTTTGCGTACCCTTGGGGGCTCCAGCCGTTAGGTAGTAGGCTTCTGCTTAGCCTAGATAGCCTTCATGAGAGTATCGACGTCGGTTGAAAAGTTGATGCGGCTGGACTCTAGGGGCTCGGAGTTAGATCGTTTGTACTCCCTAGTGTAGGCTATGTTGTTGAACATCTAGCTAGATAGGAGAGCCGCTTTCAGACTTAACTGGCGGCGGACTGGCGGCGTCCTCTCGATGGTAAATCCGTTTCGGGCCTCGCGAACGGTGGGCAGCGGGTGCATCTCGGAGGTCCGAGGGTAGGAGATAGCTTGTGGCATGGTTGGCGGATAGCTCACAGGGAAGGCCTGTTGCATGTTGTATGGGTTCACTAAGAGGGAGTCGAAGGCAAAGGCTCCGGATTGGTACGGCACCGACGTAGTCATGGCGTGTGTCGAAAACATAGGCATATGCATGTCCATGTGCGAAGTCGTTGCTTGAAAAGCCCTTGAGGTTGGCGGGTTTGTCGCTGTTCTCAAGGCGGCGTCGTATGGGGGTACCAGGCCGGGCATGTTCATGTTGGGAATGTGGAGAGCTTGGTCAGTTCGACGTTGCCAGAGATGGCGGACTGTGCCGAAGGCTGGCTATAGAGTGCGGATGGCGTGGGAGCTATGTAGTCGAGGCAGGGGATGTGCAGAGGTCTTGGGCGGATAGCGCGTGGTTGTGCGGGAGTTGAGGGTGTACCTATGGATGGCCGAGTTGAAGGCTTCTATACACATCCCGCGAACGGCAGGGATGACGAGGAGCAGAATGAAAGGGCTAGACGCGAAGAGGATAGCCGGAGATCAAGACCGCTGGGAGGAGCTTGGGCACGGCGAGGGGGCCCCTGCCGGTGGCTGCTGGGGGAAGAGTGCAGGCGCATGGGGGACAGCGCCGCAGAGCGGGCCAGGATTGGCATCTGAGCGTCCTCTGATTGGGGACGGGACCGCGAGCGGTGTGAACGGCGGAAAGGGGGTGCACGGAAGGAGAAAGCGAAACCGGAAAACCCCGCAGCCACCTGCGGGGGATGAGGTCACGGTATCCTGTCAGCGTCGCAGCGAAAAGTAAAGCGACGGCCAGACCCATGCATAAGCTTAGGACTCCACCATGCAAGACCGCTGCAGACATTCACGTATAGGGCCAAGAAAGGCGCCTGTTCGTTGGAATGAGGCCAGACTTGTTAGCGATGGCCCATGTAGACGCCGGGAAAACGGAATTTAGTGGGGAAAGGTAGGGATAAACGAGTGCATTAGTTTACAGACTGTCTGCTCTACCCTCTATGTCGCCTTACACATCTCTGACTGGGTCATACGGCCGAGACTGTTCTTGTTGCACAGCAGACGCACTTCCCGGGGTGTTCTGAGAAACAGATAAAGCCGGTTTAGCTGCATTCATTAGCGGTTGCAACTGAGCGCCTTCCTTGCAGAGCGCTTACCCTGTCGCTGTAGATCCCGGAAGCACCCTGCCATGCGCCACCTCATAATGTCCGCGTCCACCTCCGGAATTCTCTCCTCCTTCAACAACTTGTTGACCTCGTCTTGGAATTCAATTTGCTTATCGGCTGGCACGTGTGGCCACGTCAGACCTGGGTAGGCTTGCACAAGTGGTCTTGCTCTCTCTCGAGTGATAATCTGTCAACTTAGCTACTATCGGCGTAGCCGACACGTTATCTTACGAGGAATCTAGCCCATTGCGGCTTGCGGTGCTCAGCTAGGGTTCGGACTTCTTCTGCGGTGGCGTTGCTCGTTATGTATACCATGGCGTGCGAGGTTCTGTCATCCTTGGTCGGGGGAACTGGGCCGCGGTGTCTTGGTGCGAAGAAGTGGGGCTCGCTTCGCAGGCAGATGGCTCATGCGCACCCCTAACACGTCGAACCTGCCGCCGACACAGCCGCGCCACCTACCCAAGCGGCATGATATTTGTCGCAAGAGTTTCGATATCGAAACACTTCGTCGCGGTGGTAAGAGGAGGCCGTGGTTTCAGGGCCTGATGCGGGCATTTGATGACTCTAGGATCTCCACAAACGCGGTTCAATTCGACTAGAGTAATCTAGAGAGAGACTACAGGAGAATCTACGTCTCTGCCCCTTATTATTATTCTCCTACCCACCTGCTAAGAATGTTAAGAGAAGCAAGAACAATAGATAGAAGAGGTCTAAGTCGCCCTCGCAGAGTTACTATTTAATTAGTTAGTATTTATAGGTAGTACGTAAAGAAAGTATTAAAGAGTTAAAGAGTATAGTATACTTAATAAATAAACACTCTAGATAAATAAATACTCTAAAAATACTAAGCTTTTACTAAATACTACTATTTTATTTAAATTACTCTAACTCTAAGCTACTTAAGATAAATTTAGATAAGCTATCTAACTTATCTATATTATTTTTAACTATCTAGTATATTTATATATTATACTCTAGCTTACTATTATAAGCTATTCTTTTAACTAAAACTAGAGTATATACTTATATATAGAAATAAAAGATATACTTTAGATATAAATTATTTAGTAATAAAGAAATAAATATAATAATATAATAAGATATAAGTTATAGTAGTAATTTATTAAATAAAGTAATAACTATAAGAAGCTATAAAAAGTAAGCTTTTTAGTATTATATATATATATTTATTAGTATAATTTTATTTCTATAACGTACTTTATAAGTAAGCTAGTTATATAAGTAAGCTAGTTATCTTCTCTTAGTAATAAAAATTAACAAAAATTAACCTATTTTTCTTAAATAACTAAGTAAAATCTTAATATTTTTCTATAAAAATTTATATATATATTCTCTATAGTATAGAGTTTTTAGTATTAGTAGCTTAGAGTTAGGTCTAGGTAGTAGTTTAATATTATAGATATTAAATAAGTAAGACTAAGTAAGTAGTACTATACCTAAATTAGGTTTTTTCTAATAATCTCTTAGGCTAGTAAATAGTACTATACTTTATTAAAGTTTTTTTCTAATATTCTACTACTATCTACTACTAGTAGCTAGTAGACGTAGCTATTTTTTTCTAATATTCTACTATTACTACTACTACTACTATAACTATATATATTAGAGTTATTTATATTAAGTTAATATAAATACTTTCTAGCCTATATAGAGTAAAACTAGAAGGTTAATATAAATTATAGTAGTAGGTTAATATAAATACTTTTTATCTATATAGAAATATTAATATTAAGTTAATATAAATTATAGCAAAAACTAAGTTTATATAAATACTTTAAAAATTAAGTTAATATAGATTATAGTAAAAATAATATTAGTATAGATTATAGTAGTAGGTTAATATAAGTAGGTTAATATAAATATATACGTAAAAATATAGAGTTAATATAAATTATAGTAATAGGTTAATATAAATACTTTTTAGTCTATACCTAAAAACTAGAGGTTAATATAGATTATAGTAGTAGGTTAATATAAATACTTTTTAGCCTATA